ATGTGCATCCATTTTCAGGGCTGAGTAGCTGACTTATTGAACCACTGGTCTGAATGGCCTTGACAAGAATAAACAGGAAATAGACTCTTGCTCTGGGCTCAGTGGTGAAACAGGCACTGGGTTAATAAACCTCAGCACTGACAAGACAGAGGAGCATGTCTTGTAGAGTGGCTAAAGCCCTTCCAGGGAACTGCTGTTTTTATACGGGGCTATATAAAAGACCTCATCTCACCAGATCAACTTTTATTAACACTTAAGTATTGGATGAATTATGTTGAACTATACGTAGCTACATCTCAAAATAATATGCTTTAAAATTTATATATTATTGTTCAATGACATTAGTAGTTAAAAGCTGTACATTTATTAAAGGGCCTATATTAGACTATTTTCTGATCTATGTTACAATGTTGTTTCCTCATCAAAAACATACCTGGAGTTGAATTTTATTTAATTCACAAATGTTTAACATACAAATGCTACATGTTTAGGGTGTTTAGGTTCTTCTCTCAGACAGAAAAAAATTTGTTCCACCCTGTGACGTTGTGGTAATGTAGGAAATGCTCCACTGTATTTTTAGACTTCATACACCTTCACTAAAATCATTTGGGCAATTTCAGCTCTGGAATTGCCAATCTCTACTGAATTTAAGGTAAAAAGTAGCTGTTTACTTGAACACTTCATGAGATCACAAGGTGGAACAGATCAATCTGAACTTTGGAGATATACACAGACTAGTCCAACATGGGTAAAAGAAACAAAACATAACTCCAGGTATGTTTTTGAGGAACTAACAGCATTATAACATGGATAAAAGCTCGAGTCAATTTTGCGTAAGAAGACCTTTAAGTCTGGGTATTAAGATTAAGTTACATTTTATTTTATATTGGCGTTTTAATTTTTATAATGCACCATTATTTGTTGATAAAAACACCCACTTCAAACACTATCAGAGAGCTGCCTTGCTTCATTTAAAATCATTGAAAATAGGTCACCAGCAGCACATACATAATACACTTGGCGGATAATTTTAATGAGTAAAATCAAATTTCTGTTTTAAGAAACAAATATGCGTGCCTTTACAATTCTCATTAGACAGTTAACAGACCAATCAGAACCCTTCTGGTAAACAGGCGAAAACACTGAGCTCAAAGTGTCTCATGTTACATTATTATGCCTGCTAAATAAGTCATTACTCACTTGAGCACAAATCTTCCTCATTGACGTGACCACTTAAAGCATGTTTTTCAGTTTGACAGTAGAATCATGGCGGTAGACTCATAGTCCATAATAATACATGTTACAGATAGCCGTAAGTGGTGTACACACACACTACATCAAAGACACAGATCTGAATGGGAGCCCATCCAGCGGTGGCCTTAATCCTTCGACACCTGCGATTTGAAGCACACGCGTTTGATGCTGTTGGTCCAGAGGAGAGAAAGACACTCGAATCACACAGATAATAGCTGCTCATTCCACACAACAGGACAACTTTAGATGAAACATGGATGGTCTATACCATAACAGTCAGTTCTGAGTGCTATAAATGTTTGGGGATTTCATGGCCTATATGTTGTGCCAATCCAGACTACAAGTCCCACAAGTAAAAGTGACCAACACAACATCAACTAGAATAGATCATATCGAAATAGTTCTAAGAAGATGCCAACTAAGAATGTCTAGTCTTGTAAGAAAGCTACAAAAAAGTTGCAAAAAGGTCAGATACAAATTTTACAAATAAAAAGAAACTTGCAACATAATATAAAAAGTATTAAGTATCACACTTGTGTTTTAATTTACCGCCTGTAAAAGAATTTAAGTAATTTATCCTCCATGTTCATCTCTCAGTTCAGCATCGACTCACAGGAAGTATAGTAACACGATCATCTTCCCTTGGCATACCGTTGGCATACCATTATCTAAATTGTAGAACATTGCTGTCTAACCGGTTCCTAATTGCCTTCATAGTCGCACCACACTTGCTTTATAAAGCTTCGTCTTTGGAAGCATAGTAAAGGGGCTTGAAAATTCAAAGATCATACTATGTTCACTTTTGAAATCATACTAATTTGTCTTTTCAACATCCCCCGGCCATATTACTGATGGTAAATAAACTTCTCCTGCTTAAGACATCCAGTTGTTCTCCAGCCTTTTTACTTCCACCCTTGCACAAGCTGAAAACCTCTACAACGCTGCCCATATGTTCAACACTTGAACATCAACCAGGATATTTAGGCTCTATTCACGCTTGAAAACACACCACACCAAAATAGGGACTATAACCTTTACTGTATATGTAAACTTACAAGTTATAACGTCTATTATACAATCACTTGGTTTTACTGGGACTTTAAGCCCCTCTAGAACAAGACCAAACAAGAAAATTGTGAATTTATCCTTATCCTTGGGGAAATTTTATTTTAAATATTTTTACTGGAACAATAAACATCAAGATATTATATATATATATATATATATATATATATATATATATGTGATATTGAGCTCTGAATAAGTTTCAAAAATGTGTGGTTTATTTTCAGTACTGTCTATTTCTGTTATTCAAAGCTGACAAGAATTATAAAAAAATTAATTGTGCTGTACTTATGTAGGTCTCAAATTTCACATATGTTCTAAATTGAGTGATTAATATAACAAGTACAGAGCGTCATACTGGAACTAACACAGGCTCCATTTGTTACTGTGTATGGCGTTGCAGATATTTATAGCTTCACTCACTTCATTTGAAATTGCATAAATGAATCTGTTCTACAATTCCCTCATCTCATCAAATTAATATTGGTTGATACATTCTTGTATGCTTACTAGTGATAAATTAGCATTTAATTAGAAAATCAACAATAATACGCACATAAACAAAGTGAAAAAGGAGGGGCAAACCTTTCCATTTTTGGCATTTTTACACACACACACACACACACACACACACTCACGCACACACACACACATTGGGTATCAATGCTTTTGGTAACATTACATTATTTCCTGAGGACTGAGCATAACTATAAACTACGACATAATATTAACCTAAACAGCTTAATTATATTTAACTTGTAAAATGTGTTTAATTTTACACAAAATTACAACACAAGAATATAATATATCCTCAATAATAGATTTCATAAAAGATACACTGTTTCCAACTAAATTCACCATTACAATACAGACCATAAATGTACCAGATCATTTTAGATCTGCCAATTCCACCATATCGGATACAATCATATATTTAACTGCACAAATCAAAACAAAACAAAGAGAAACCACCTTGGACCTGTTCAACACTGTACCACAGTACAACATGTCCTGCTCATAACATTTTAACAGGAACGTCCAGCCCTATACCAGCCTGTGTGCTTTGTTCAGTACAGCACTCACTGGGGGTTGGGGAAAGAAAAGGGTGTGGCTTGGATGTTGTCATGGCAACAAGTTATCATTGCTTTGAACCTCCTCCACCAACCAGTCACAGCGTACGGACAGTGTGGTAACTCATACCCCCAATGTCTGCCAAGGAACATATCTAATAGCAATAAAATAGTGAAATCTACATAGGACTTTAAAATTGTGATTATCATGGTTTACAATTACCAAAACCATAATTCAGTGACTCATAGGTGATTAATTTAAAATAGAAAGTAATTGCAGTACAATTACAGAATTGCTATATTAAATATATGATGATATGCATCAAGAATAGGTAATTTCAAGAATAGATACTTTTGGACTAAACTTGAATCTTGCAATAAAAAGCAGACGCCTTTCTATGTCTTATATTAAAATACTTAACATGAATATATATCTTCTAGATTTTAATATTTTGATGCGCTTCACAAAAGCACAAGGCAAGTTGTGAAAATATCAAATTCCTTTGCTTCTGGAAGGTCTACACATAACAGGACAGTACTAAAAATAATTAAATAAGGTAAATTCTTCCTCCATCAGAGTTCAAACAGCATAGTCCATCAGTTACAGCGCCAGCACCAGAGTGACACACATGGCTGTTCTCCTGCTGTATCCTCCTCTAATAGGATGCTAGTGTTATAAAATACAAGGTTACATGACATTATTGGGTTTCACAAAGCAGAGCCAAATGGTCCTGTTCATGCCTGTGTAATATAGCAGAGCACCTGACCTGCAGACAACCCCAGAGAAGAGAAAACATAAACCACCAGGCAGCACTATCTCCACCCTGTGCAAAGGACTGGACATAAATGGAAGCTGAGATTGCAAAAGCTTTCTTAGGCTATTTAAAAAATAATAATTTGATAATATGTCTTTATGAGTAAACTTAGTGCAAGGGAAACTCACCTTGTAAATGTATGTAGTAATGGACTGTCTGGCTATGGTCTGGATGGTCCTCTCTAGAAACATAAATTATAATCACTGGGCTAGGTCAAATTCAACTTGAGCATACTTTCAGGCGTTATAAGATACGCACACACACAAAAACAAGCAGTGTAAAAAAAAATTTAAAAAATCAAGTAGTGTAAAAGCACCAGCAACAAAACATAAATAATTACAAAAATAAAACAAAACTCACGAGATCAATGTCCAGATGAGTTTAGCTAGCAGTCAGCACTCACCCTTTTTCTTTTGCCGTGGAGTGAAAGCACTTCATATTTACTACTTAACTGATCTTTACTGACTTTAAAAGCATTAGCCAGTGAAAGATCATACAAAAAGTACATGATAAAACACATTAAAAATAATAATGAACAACTCTGCTGTAGTTGACATGGGTTGCAGTATGTTGCCATCTCCTGGATAAACTAAGCATTACGAAAAATAGATACAGTTAGTTAAAAATAGTTGGATACTTCTTCACAACAGGTACAAACATATTACTTATTATCATTTAACACTGTGCACTAAATGTTATAATTCATTGTCAGTGGTAATTTCTTTTTCTTTTCTTTTTTTTTTTTTTTTTTTTTGACGTCATCTGCTTTGCGCGCCAAATACAATGAAAACAAAAACATGTTTGACTGCTAATGTTGCTAATGTCTTTTTTTTCTCATAACGCTAATATTCGAAAAAGCTACCCTCTTTATCCTATTTATTTATCTATTTAACTCAGAGATAGCTGTCATGTTTCATAACAAATCTGCCTGGTTTTCAAGCAGTGTGCCTCAAGACTGCAAGAGATTCTGGAGTAAGTAGAAGCTATATTTGGCCAGCAGCTTTTCTTGTCAAAAGATGTATTTTCACAATTAAAATTAAATAATTATAATCAAGGATATATCAAAATTGTAGTAAATATACATATGTGTTAATATGTTCTTATCAACTGATTAAAACCATAGTCAACATTTAATTCAAGATGTTTTTGATCAGTGATGGAAGGAGGGACCAAAAGCGATTGGAAAACAGCAAATTATCTGTTCAGTCAGGATGCTTTATGTCCTGATACAAAAAGGTGAATAGCAGCACATAATAAACTAGATTTTCTTTCTTTAGGCTTATTTAATTGATTCTAACTATTCTTTATTGTTCCTTTTCAGAATATATTTCAGCAGAGACTACCTGTTCAATAGGGTGACAGTCTTCCATAGTTTCTTCCTGTCTGCCTGTGAAAAGAGGAAGAGTTTTCAGTCTGTGTGCATTGGGCACTATGTACTGCCTCCAGACTCTGTCCAGGAGGGTAAGTATCACTTTTCTGGATTTTGTATATCTGTTTATTTTCTATCATCATGTATATTTTAATGTAATTTTTAATGCAGAGGTAAGAAATGTCATTGGGAGATTGATTTGGGAATTTGATGATATTCAGTGGCCAGAGGTAAGATGAATCCCCAGAATGTGTAAATCAAAAATGAATATAGCACGAAATTTGGTTATAAACTGTTTTTAGGCCTTCAGTCAGGACATAGAAGATGGTCACAGTGATGGAAAAGCAAGTCAACTTAAGTATGTTGTGTTCTTTTACACAAAAACTTTCCCCACACATTTAAATCTATACTTAAACATATCACACGCGCATGTTTATTTCAGCTCTGTAGAAACAGTCTCTTCAGAAAATGGGGAGCCATGTGGAGGTGTATCAGCCTATCCTTCCAATAACATGCTCACAGGTATGTAAACGGGTATGTTTTGTTTTTTGTTTGTTTTTGGGGTTTTTTTTTTGGAAATGTGTAAATTAATGGTTATTATATTGTTCACAGGTTATGTAAGCATGGAGAGTCTTCCAAAGTATTCAGGACCTTTGAGTGATTTTTGCCCAGGATGTCTCAGATGCTGTGCTTGTAGCTTACACCATTGTTTATTTCACACATAAATCAACAGACCAGTTACACGGTGGAACAGTTTATAGCTTTAGTTATAGATAATGAATGCTTAAATTAGACCTGTCATATTATAAGTATATGTTACTGCTCTGTAGCAGGTGAAATGTGAATTGTGTTAAGCTAAATTTTGGATTATTTGCTAGGATCATTTGCATGTAATAAAGCTGTCACTGAAGTATACTAGTACATGCACAAATGTGTATGATTATTTATTGTCAGAAACATTTTTCCATTGATTAATTAAATACATTTTCTCAACACAAAACATCAGTAAACGAACTATCATTAGATCTAAGGTTCTAAATCCAAGGTTTATTACCCACATTTAAATTTATACTGTAAGTGTTAAAATAATATTGGCATTTTTAAACTGCTATGTAGTATTAACAATACCTCACAATACTATAAAGTAGTACTGTTCAAAATTAAGGTGGCCAGGTGGCCCTATTTACCTGGGACAGTCCCAGTTTTGAGCCCTGTGTCCTCTGTCCCAGCAGATTTATCCAAAACCAGTGATTTGTCCCAGTTTTTTTTTTTTTTTTTTTTTTCTTTACAAGAAAGGCATAATTGTCATATATTTAGATAAAACACAGAAAAACTGCTTAAAAATCACAAAACCACAACGAAAATGTGACTATACTGACTCAGATTAGTGCCAAGTGCAATTTCCCTTGATTATACACTTGTTTCACAATTTTATTATTACCAACCACCACAAACCAGGCATGTCCCAGTTTTTTTTTTTTTTTTTATTGTTTGTTTTGAAAATCTGGTCACCCTATACAAAATATGTCATAGATCTTTGGTCATATACAAAATATGTCATAGATCTTTGAATGTCTGGTGCGGAAAAACGACCCAACCTGGCAACAACTGGGTCGATTGGACGCTACCATTTCAGAACATGGGGCCATTTAAGTTTCCGTGTCGAAATGGATTTATCCGTTTCTGATTGACCAATAGAGGAGTTTGTTTTGGTGTCAGCCCCAGCTTCACAGGAAGGTGCAGGTGTACTTTGACACTGATAGCTTCCCCAAAAAGATTTTTTGTCTTAGTTGTGACATCTTTTAGCTCAGTTAAACCACCGCCATGGACACGGATAATCTGTCGGTCGTGTTGCACTCTAAAAATGATCTCAGACTGGTAAGACTTTACACGAGTTTACACGTGCTACTTCACTTTTCACAATGAAACTTAAATGTTTTATTATTTATTTTTTTAGGAGCAGCGTCCAGTGCCAGAGCCAGGACCCAACGGTAACTGTTAAACCCCTGCGTATTTTCATTTAAAGGAATTTATGCATTATAGCTCTGATTTAGATTGTACACCGTTTCCATGGTTATTTGTCCTCAATATGAACTCTTTGTATGTTTGCAGATGTATTGCTGCGGATGCACTCTGTGGGGATCTGTGGGTCAGATGTTCACTATTGGCAGAATGGGCGCATTGGAGACTTTGTGGTCAAAAAGCCGATGGTTTTGGGGCACGAAGCGGCTGGAACAGTGGTCAAAGTTGGATCTGCTGTTAAACATCTACAGATAGGTAAAAATTGTAGTATGAATGTGCACAGTGGTTCCAGTGAATAGCAGAGACAATGGCGGTCACCTACAGACTAAAAACTATACGTTAACATAACAAAATTGCACTTTGTTTCTTATTGCATTGCCATGAGAATAAAAACACATTCATAATCCACACATTGTGTGACAGAAAATGATTTAAAAAGTGCAACCACAGTCTGATTGTGACCTATGGCAAACACTGGTGCATGTCTTTTTATAACTGCATTAACTGTTTACAACCTACGTGTTACATTAACTTCTGAGCTGTTGTTTTTAGGTGACAGAGTGGCCATTGAGCCTGGTGTGCCACGAGAGATGGATGAGTTCTTTAAAAACGGCCGCTATAACCTCTCTCCCGCCATCTTTTTCTGTGCAACACCTCCTGATGATGGAAACCTTTCACGATACTACACTCACAATGCCAACTTCTGCTATAAGTAACTCTACTCTTCTCAAATATAGAATCGTTGCATTTCTTTGTATCAGAAATTATACAATCAAATATCAGTTTGCATGCATTTTGGTTTGCTCTTCTCGTCTTTGTGCAGGTTGCCAGATAACTTGACATTTGAAGAGGGAGCACTTATTGAACCTCTTTCAGTCGGTATCCACGCCTGTCGCAGAGCAGGGGTCACAATGGGCAGCGTTGTGCTCGTCTGTGGTGCAGGTACAAATGTATGAATTTAATTTGAAAAGATATTGATCATTTTGAGACATCTTCCACCAGTCTGCTGTGATGTAAAGAGGAAATATTTCAACATGTATGCAAACATTTCGACATGCTTGCAAAACTGTAATGTGTTTTGAAAAGGTATGAGACATGATCATTGATCCTTGACAAAGCTTATTAATGTTTAACATGCTTTCTGCAAAAAAAAAAAAAGCAATTAGGCACATCTAATCTCACTATCTAGTGTTATTAAAATGTATATTATTTTGTTAACATTTACATTCTGTATTTCAAAGTTTCTTTATGTTTACTACTACTACTACAAGTTACCCGTTAAACAGAATGAACTTTGAAAAAGATTTAACTTTTTTTCTACAGGAACTATTGGATTGGTCAGTCTACTTGTAGCGAAAGCAATGGGAGCCTCAAAAATTGTCGTCACTGGTAAAAAAAGAATCAAATGTAATAATTTACTTGAAAATTAAGTTGCTGTATTTTTTTATGTTCAGATCTTTCTCAGGAACGTTTATCATTGGCAAAAGAACTGGGTGCTGATTTTGTGTTGACTGTAACCAAAGAGGATTCACCACAGACCCTGGCTAAAAGTGTGGCAGACTTGTTAGGAACACCCCCTAATATGACCATCGAATGCACTGGAGTGGAGAGTAGCATTCAAACGGCTATCTACGTATGTAACTCTATTATCTACTCATTAATTCTGTGTATTTATCTGCTTTTTTAATACTGATTTCTGCCAGGCAACTCAATCTGGAGGTGTGGTCGTGCTTGTGGGCCTGGGTAAAGAGATGGCCACTATTCCTCTGGTCAATGCAGCTGTAAGAGAAGTCGACATTAGAGGAGTATTTCGTTATTGCAACACGTGAGTAAATGCTGTTGTCTTTAAATGATGAAACAGCCATGGCTCTGATCTTAATGCTTTGGTTTTGTCTTGCAGTTGGCCCATGGCAATAGCCATGCTCTCATCAGGTAAAGTTAATGTGAAGCCGCTAGTGACCCACCGTTTCCCTCTGGAGCAGGCTCTACAGGCCTTTGAGACCACCAAACAGGGCTCCGGGATTAAAGTCATGTTAAAATGTGACAAAAATGACCAGAACCCTTGACCTGATCATTAGAGATTAACCCGTAGACCAAAACTTCGGAAAATGAACTTTGAACTTGAGCTGAGATAACAACAGGATAAAGACAGATTAGATGAAAGATTAGAATGAACCCTGTGGAGGTTAGAACTGTTATTATAATTATAGCTTTAAAAAAATAATATTTCACTATTTTGTAATTGTGTTTACATTTCAATTTTATCTTTAAATTAATAAAATACAATTAACAATTTACACAATGTTTTGCAATGTTTTTCTTACACAACCTGTACTTCCTTGTTGAACAGATAGAGGGCAGCACAGTCTTAGTTTTAAATGTTCATAATCATCATGGTTCATACATTGTTTATAAACAAACAAGTCTTAAAATAGTCTTCCTTAGATCAGTGTGCAGTAGGTTTTATAAGTACTTATATTATCATTTACTGAAAAGACTTCATTAAATGTTTACTTTCACTATAGAGTGATTCTCAAACTATGACTGTCTGTACAGTATTGTTGGTTTATAGCAGATATGTCCAATAATTTTTCACTGAGGGCCACATATATTTATAGTGGAGGGCCGCAGACTGGTGGTCAATACAGCAAGTCTTTCAGATAGTTACATTTTAAATAACTTTGACAGAGCCGCTACACCTAGCCTATAAAAGGCTTGGAAGACATATTTTAGGTTTGTATCACAATACAATGTGGTTTTACTGAAGTCATAGTTTTAGAGATATTTAACATTGGGGCAAAAAGTTCTGCTTATGATAGTTTGAGCCTGTTCAGCCTGAGGGGCTACAAAAATGGGTCTGAGCTCCCTGAGTCATAGTTTGGACACCGAAACCCCTGATTTATAGCAACCTAAACATGATTTTATGATAAATAAATATATTTAGTTTGCCCCATAACCACAATTTAGATACATTGATCCAGTTAAAAAATCCAGACAGGTTTAGCTCAGATTTTATTCATCTTGCCACATTGACATGATTCTACTTTACGAGGCATGCACACAGATAATGTTCATATGGGTCAGATTTACTGCGATGCATTATTAAACCGCTACTTTGTGATATAGCTTCGTCTGTCACAGTGAGCCATTCACAGTTCCCTCTCAAGACGTCGCCAACATACAAGCGTGGAGATGGTAGCGGCAACTAAACCTGTGCATTTTGCTTTTTTTACATGGGCACAATACTTAGACAAGTTTCTTTTTATGTACAGACATTCTAATACTGCGTATGGCAATGAGACAGCTCACACTACACGGTTACATTCACAATCAACCCATATCCATATGAGTTTCAGTCAGACGTTATGAACCAATAACACACAAAGAAAACATCTGTGTCCAAAGCTTGTATTTTCAAAGAAGAATTAATGCTTTTTCATAGTTTTACTGAGTTACTTGTTATTAGAATGTGTGCGTTGCATGTTTAGTTTAGAAAAGACATCCCTTGCCTTAGAAGTTGTGTATTGCCATAAAATGAAGAAAAAATATATGGCATTTCTCCCATTAACCCCTGATGAAATAATTTAATTCACATGATCACAACAATTTTGAAACCAGCTATTTCATCATACAAGTCTTTCCCCTTTTCAGACATTGATAATTCAGGCTGGCTTTTGTCATCATAAATCATCAAACAGCAAGTTACATACAATATATATTTACAATTTAGCTGTGGACCCTCCCCAGTAACTTCAATTGCAATATTAGCAAAAAGGTATGTATTTACATGAGAAATAAATAAACTTAAGGGACATGGGGCTATACAAAAGTATGTATAGATGCATTATATTGCATTAAATGAATATAAAAAATAAACTGTTGGCATTCACAAGTTCATACACACACCCGCACAGCAGTGACAATAAAGCACAGACAAAACTCTCACAACAGTACATTTTGTGTGGCTGGTCCAATGGTAAAAGCGCTTTAGGTTGTTGCTATGGCCACTGCATGTTAAGCATAAATAAAAAGTGATAATGTAAAATTGAAATGACAGATGAGAAGACGGGCAGCAGATCTCTATAGTCTTATGTGGTAGAGGTGCCCTGTTGATAAGACTGTTCTGTGGAGTAATTAGATGGACATTCTTCATATGTACATAGGTGTCTCCTGCCCTGTTAGAAGTCTGAACATGGCGGCTGGCATTGTCTTCATGTGGATCTGGAAACAAGAAAAATGTATTTACATTAATATGACAAAAAAAATAAAAATCAACTGTCAGTCAAGCCCAGTCCTGTCATTTTCGAATTTCTTTTTGTGCACTAAAGTAAAGGTCCCTACACACTACAGGATTTTTCAGTCTTAAACGTTTTTTAAATGTGCGACAAAATGCGCTCACCACTGACACAAGGAGAATCTTATGAGATTTTAAATCTCTGATCACAAAGACTCCTGTGGGATATGGCTGCATACCACATGCTACAAAGCTGTGAGCGCACCTCACTTCTGCGGTTTTCTGTTTACAGTAAAACCAATCGCTTTGAGGCTCTTAAGTGTTCAAAAGATCAGAGCATTGCAATTCCAGTCCACAACTTTAGGTGAGTAATAATTATTTTCACTATTTCCTGAGCTTGTATCTTGCATATTAATGTATTAATGTTAAGGAACTGACCTCTCCCACAGAGTTGGACAGAGCCTGGACGATCTTCTCATGTGCTGTGGCGACCACACTCTGTGCGTTGATCTCGATGATGCGGTGTCCCACACGAACTCCGCCTCGTTCAGCGATGCCTCCTCGCATCAAACTGCAGATCTACCAAACACAAGGACGCACAAATATTAAGATAGGCTCAACATGGATTTCATCTTTCTATTATATGCAACTATTTTTAATTGCTAGGAAAACAGTCTTCAATTGTCATCATTCTGAAAATCCATGGTAAAAGAGACGTGTTTAAACTTACAATGCCATTTTGGACGCTAAATCCCAACTGATACTTCAGGTCTGGTCTCTTGATGAGGACAGTAGTAACAGGAGGGCAGCTCACAATATTCATCTTCACTTGGACCTGGTTCTTCAAGCCCTGAAAACAGAAGCACACTTTAAACCTCTGTGATCCTATGTGAACACTTATTATTATGTAGTCAATCTTTCTTGTTTTGTAATTGTACCTTAATAATTCCCTGACAGGTGGCGAGGGGCAGGCCCACAAGGCTGGTGTTGTTGATGGACATGATCTGATCCCCAATCTTGAGTTTTCCGGAGCGTGCGGCTGGTCCTCCGTTCATCATGTTAGCCAAGATCACTGTGGGTAGTATAGAGCCCCAGCCCGACTCCACTATCACCACACCCAGGATCTCCCCTTTACTCTTCTCCAGCGTCAGCTACATAGTCACAGACAAAAGTTAATGATACACAAAGTTAGGTAGTTAGGTATCACTTTATTAGGAATGATTTCGGTTTAGTACTGAAATAAACCCAGTTGTCAAAAGTATATTGAAATATTGCAATACTGTTGTTATTGCGAAACAGAACATTTCTCAACTAATGTATCTTATTCTCATATTGTGCAAAACAAAAGCACTTTGACTTTGACAGACTTTTTTTTCAGTCTGAGATGCAGTAGATTGTCTGTGAGATTGGATGACATGGCCGGTGTTTCTGTATTGGATCAGTTTTGACAGATATTTTAGATACACTACAGAAACAACACCCTACAAGAAGTACAGTTGATGCGTTGAATAAGTGGTGGTTGTAGTTACTGAAACTTTGCAGTGATATCACACTGTGGGTGTTCTACATAAATCTGCATGGTGGAGTGTTCAGGAATAACCATGGTGAAACAACGCTCACATTAGTAAATATACACAAAAAAAGTTTCAAGATAGTCTTAAAACTGAAGAAAAAATACAAAATTGATTAAACAACACATTTTCAGAAGTGTGTGATTAACGGTGCTCATGGTCCCATTTAGGTTTGATTTTCAACAAAAAATGTGAGAGCGACTAATTGAAAAATTGTAGCTTCTGATGATAATTTTATGTGTGAGAGACTTGACAGCACAGATCTGCTCACCTGTTGTAGTTCCAACAAAACCAACTCTTTCTGGTTAGGTTGTGTTAAAATAAAGCTCAAATTATAATCTAACTTGAGCAACAGAGCTTCTGACAGAGCAGTGCTTACAGTTAGCATCACATCCCCAGAGGATGTTGATAACATGAGCTGCAAAGTATGACTGTGGAAAGATCTTACTAATGGAGATGTCCACAGCTAGTACTCTGTCAGTGAACACATGTTTCAACATCCACTGCCAACACTGAATGACTCACACTTGTAAATATGAAACCAACCTCTTTGCAGTTTTCGGAGTTGGAGAAGTGTATGAGATCATCGTTGTACATCTCTTGAGTGTTGATGATGTCACTGTACTCTTTTTGGCTCAGGTCCTCTGGGTTAATGCCATTGGCTCGAAGGAACTCCTGGTAAGCTACACTGAAGGCCTGCCCAATGGACTGAGCTATGAGCTGAGCCTGCACATTACAACAAAACACAGAAATGCTTTTAGATCATTATATGCAAAACGAGCTGTAGAAGTGCAGCTAAAATGAATTCTATTGTCATGGGAAACAATTGTTGGAGCTCTGTGACTGTTGTGAAAAGGACAAGAGCAGGTATACATTCCAGCTTTTCTGCTAATCTTGTGCAGTTTGGCATGATGCAGAGAACAAAGGTAGAAAAAGATAATTTCAGTAACAGTCCACTCCATTCCAGTAGCTCCACAAAGCTTTTATTAATTATATATTAAAATAAATCAATAAATAAATCAATCAATAAAGCTTTGATTTTTTTTTTCACATACTATACCATTGGATGGATCTAATCAATCTCTATTTGTGTATACGGTCTTTGTGCACTGAATAGTTTATAATCTGACCCCTCCTAAGGCTAATAATCTCACATTCGGCTCTTTATTTGCAACTACCAACAGGAGTTGCTCTCTGCTGTTTTATTTCATTTAAGGGGGCACCAGTTGGAAACCTCTGCTCTAATATAGGCACCTCTACAACTTGAAATTCGTAAGACACATCCTTAGTAAATACAAACCCGATATTTGCACCTTTTAGCAAATTGGCCTTAAAATATTGACCTGTGCTGGATATTTGTTTTGTTTTGTTTTGATCGACCTGCTTCAGAATTCACAGAAAGATTTATTTGACTTTACTTTAATGTAAATAGATAACTGCTCAAAATGTGACTACATAATCCTCTTGAACGTTTATAGTAAAAAGGGACTGTAGGTGAGTTTGCTGTGAAATAAAATAACATAATTTGATTAAAATAATCTAAATCACCCCTACATATCAGTAAAAAAATATCAGAGAGCTTATCAGTCGATCTCTAATAGATGACTGGATTAACAATGCTTAAATGTTCATAATGATGACCTGTTAAGAACTGAAGTCCACTTGATGTTGCTGATGAATTTTTACTAAGACGTAGTCAAAAACACACAAAACTGCAACTCATTCCTTGCAAAAAAGAACAATAACAAGGTAAAACAGTGCGGCCACTGGAGCTGGCACAGACTGCACGTAGAGTTTATGAGCAGAGGAAAGGCGCTGAATGCTTCTATTATAATTCTGGCTGGCTCTTTGAAGCTGGCAGTGGACGGAGCTGAGAGGCAGAGACAGGAGCCCAGCCTTTAGACTGACTGGCACAGACGCACTGGGCTACTGCTGCTGCTGCTCTGTCTAACTCTGAACATGGTGCCAACTCCCGCTGAATCTGCTTCAACTCCACAAACTGGGCTCAAAGCGTCTGGCCCATCTGCATAAGTGGACATACAAAAACAGCTTAACCCCTCAACATTTAAATGGTTTGAGCTTAACATAAAGCAGTACTTTTTCACTGATGGAATCTGCGCCTCCCTCCCAGCAAAAAGGCAGTGGGTTCAGTTCTTCAGTTAACCACAGAGCATCACTAATTTAGACAACCAGAAAAATATGTTTATTCGAACTACGATGATTATATTGCATTTGTTCAAGGGACATATACTTTGGACTTTGAGTTTGGTCCTGTAAGAGCTCTAGCCTAGATTGAATCTAGTGCCTTTTATTAATTTTTGGTCATTTTTATTAAGCAACAAATATATCAGTACCTTTAGTCGCCAATAATATTATGTAATTTCTGTTGTATTTTTAGTCATTACTGATTACTTTTTATTTATTGGGTTTATTTTGCAGCCAGTCTGGTGTTGCAAAATTATACAGCATTTACATAAGCAATGAATAAGCACTTGAAAATATCTAGGGGCTTTGACTCAAATTTCAATTTATAGTAGCTATTTTATCTTATCTGTACTTATCTTCATTAAATATTATAGGCCTATAAAATGTTGTCTTCTTTTTAAACCATAGACTGTAAGGGAGTCTATGAATAGGAATTTATTTATAGACAAAACATCTGGATCATGTAGAGCAGTTTGATATGAACATTTTAAGGCCAAAATGATGAGGCTCGCTGACATTTTTCAGTGTAAAGCAAACTGTAAAGTTTATACTGTACAGTTTATGGTTTGAACCCAAGCAATTGATAATTCTGTCAACATGACCAGAATTGTTGCATATCAAAAGTACTTACATCCTCAGACTCAAAAACATGGCAGATCATCTTGTACTGCTTCTTTGCCTCGGGAGCCCCTGGGGTGGTCTCGATACAGTCCTGCGACGCTGTCCGTGGCATCCTCCTCCGTGCCATCAGGACCACTATGTTCCCAATATCTGCGATGTAGGAGATTGTCCGCAGAGCATTGTCCATCATTGTTTCCTGGAAACAGTTAAAACATGTAGATTCAATTAACTGAACTATGAGCATCAGTAACATGTCCACCAGTCATATGGACCATTATCATTATTAAGTTCTACATTAGTGTTAATGATGCACCAATCCAGCTTTGTCACTTCTGATACTGATACAGATACTTTGACTTTAAGTATCTGCCAATACTCAATACTAACCAATACCAGTGTATCAGTGTACCCTTAAAAACACAGTCAACTTAATACACAAGAGATCAAATAGTGCTATGTAAGTATTTTGTTTGAACAGAAGTTCAAACATTATGATATATGATATGTTCTAGGATGAGATCAGCCCAGATAATTAGATCCAATTAAAGGTCCAACCAGGAATTCGACTAACCCAATATTATGGAACCGATATCTGATCCAGCAAATGTTTCACTATCTGCGCCGATATTCAGTGCCAATATTGGTATTGGTGCATCCCTAATTAGACTTGGGTTGGTCTTGATTTTGTCTTTGTAAAGTTTTTATTTGGATCCAGTCTGACTAGTAAATGGAGGCATGTGAATTTTAGTTTGAAATAAACTTAACTTATTGTGCCAAAAACTATACTGAAATATTGCAACATATTTCAATATAGCATTATTATTGCAAAACAAAACGGTTCTCGAATAACACATCTTATTCTCATATTGTGCAGCCCTATTGAAAGCACTTTGACTTTGACAACCAGTGTTTGTTTTTTTTCAGCCTGAGATACAGTAGATTGTCTGTGAGATTGGATGACATGGCCAATGTTTCTGTATTGCATCACTTTTGACAGATATTTTAGATACAATACAGAAACAACATCCCACAAGAAGTGCACTTTTGGAGATGTGTTGAGAGGTGGTGGTGGTTATATGGTAAGGTTTTTCTGATGGAGATGTCTACAGCCAATCCTCTGTCAGTAAAAACATTGGGTTTGGAGCAAAGTTCAGACTGAAGGAAGAAATTTGACATTGTTGTGTTCAATGCCAATCATATAAAGTCTCTAAAGTTTCTGTTCAGGAAATTCACATTGAAAGTCATTTTAATGATTGAAAATTGTGAATGTTGTATACAAGGACAAAAATAATGATTAATAGTGACTTTTTTGTCACATTGCCCGGTCCTTGATCCTGGGCACTTTGGGGACCTTGAAAAGCGGTACATAAATTTCTAAAATATTTGCTGTCTAATTTATCAATACCAACTGAGAGGTCCAATGAAATAATCTATGCTGTTGCCTTTTCCTGTCAGGTTTTCTATTATACTGTGTCTGATCGATTTGAGGGTCATGGAAAAGATACACGAGGAAGCCATTAATTTACCACGCCTTCTGTATGGCATTGAATAAAACAAAATTTAAGTATTCCTGGAACAAGCAGGCTGTGTTGTGATTAAATTTAAATCTACTGTATAATCAGATTACATCCCACAATGCTCTGCTAAATTAAATCCAGGGGACATGTCTGAAATAATGAGCAGGTGTGCAGTGGGATACCTGCAATGTTACTACAGCGACCTCCACTGTAATCATGATTGTTCAGTCAGCCTGATAATTGTCTTATGTCAGGATGCCAGATTTGATGTGTGGTAAATTCTGATAAGCCACTTAATGTTGGAAAGTTGTGGGGTTTATTTTTAAAGTCAAAGGGTAAAAAGTGTTACTCAAAGTCACAGTTCAGTTCCGATACACAAGTCTGTGTCGTCCAGGCAGGCTCCATAGCAAAAGAAATTTGACAGAATAGATTTTTTAGCTTGAGATAAAAAAGTTTGATTTAATTTATTCGAGCTAGAGTGATTACTCGACTGATCTTGATTAGATCGACAACAAAAAAATTATCACAGTTGTATTTTGATAACTGTAATTATTAACTGGACTCTAAAGCACATATGATAAGACCTTCAGATAAGACTTCAGTGGCATTAAATCAAACTTTCAAAAAATAATAAACAATAAGCCCTAAACAGTAGAGATTAAACCTATGTATCTCCAGAGTGACAACCATAGACTACGTTACAGGACAGATCTGTGGAGAGGCAACCCTATTCACAGAGAGAATTAGGTTTATTGTATTTTTGGTAATGGAAACACCCATAATTAATAAATGCTAGATGGATTTGTTTAATGTCATACTATGGAACATTCCAGGCAAAGCAATAAATCTCCATGGAGACAAGCAGGTGATGGACCTTCCACCAGAAAAGCTGCACAATGTATTTTTAAGCAGTGGCGTGAGGCCAGGGCAATCAAGGCACGCAGTGGTTGCACAATAAAATAAAAAATCATTGTGTGTCAAAAGTAAAATTAAATAATTTCAAATTATATCCAAATAATCCCTTTTTCCCCTCACTTCTGTCTGTTTGAAACATGGTTGTAGTCACAGTGTCCTTTACTACACTCTACTGGCCATTGAGCAGACTGCAACAACCGCGGTTCTGAGCGTCCCATTAACTTGTGTTGTTTTGCCCTTCTACAGAGGCCTGGAGGCACATGTTGAGGGCGCAGCTTTCTACTCTGACCGAAGAGGCCAGCTGGTTGTTTTAGAGGTTTGTGCATGCATACTGAGGACCACAGCCGGCTCAAACAGCGCTGAATAATCATCCATGGGAATTGGACATGTGGGGCGATTCCTAGTACGTGTGCACGTGCAGCACGAGACGACAACAGCAGCGCTAACTTTCAACACAAGTGTCTAAAAAGAACTTCCTTTCAGCAACAAGTCATTCTTTGTAGCTTTGTGTTTGTAATGATTAGATGCTAGTTAAAAATACAGGCCATCATTTAATCAAACAGTGAGCCCCGTTTGAACAAGCATGGTGTCAAATACAGTCCAATATATACAAATATTAATAAATTATGCAGGTGTAGGTCTCTCTAATTTGACTCCAAAATTGCTCAGTATATATGAATTTATTATGTCAGTAAAATAAATCTATTAATTTGCAAAGTAGTATGTATAAACATTTAGTTATTAAATTGTTATCAACAAAATATTAATGTCCACCCCAAGTCTGCTTCCCTACCCTTAAAAGTCACCCCACACTACTGCCTTTAAGTCATATTTGTCTGTATTTGTTTGATAATGTACATTAGTCAACTACAACAGTCAGTCAGTCAACAGAAGAATATCATCTGGTTAAAGCTGGGATACCTGATTTTCAAACTGTAAATGGAAGGAGTACATTTTTAAACTGTTACCCGCAGATCTAACTTGTCCTTAGCTCTCTAAATCCTTTGGTACTTTGCTAGTATTCACACGGATGAACTGTCAGAGCCTGTGCACAGCTTTAGAACAGCTTTTTCAGACAGCAAAGCAAAGGAAGCACCACACTGGCCAATCCACCCTCATCCCACAGCATTACACAGTGACGCACCAAGTTCTTTCTCTGCATTCACAATCAATAAAACGTTTCACTGTTAGATTTTGTCACAAACTTTACTTTTAGCTTGAGTCTATGGCCACATTTATAACTATAATAGAAGTGCCTTGGCTGAAGTCTGCACTTTGTTCCATAAATTATGTGTTAAAGGTGCAATGTGTAACTTTTCTGGTGGAGGGTCCGCCACCTGCTTGTCTCCATGGAGCTGTTATTGTTTTGTCTGGAATGTCCCGGTATGGCATTAAACATATCCATCTTGCATTCATTCAATAAAATGAGTTTTTATTGACCTAATAACTTGCATTCTTAGTGGGCTCGCCTCTCCACAGATCTGACATGTAATTTGACCCTGTGTCTCCTGACCTGCTGTCTCCGTAGAGGTAAATATGTGCCATACTATGGAACATTATCTCCATGCAGAGAAGCAGGTGACGGACCCTGCGTGAGAAAAGTTACACAGTGCACCTTTAATGTAACATTGTGTTGGCCCTCAAACCAGTGTTAAAGCTTTAACATCGTGCATGGCATTAAGACATCCGCAGCTTTTATAAACTAAGACTAATGTATTTGCTGCAGCAGTTGTTTTATGAATCACAGTGAGGGGGCCTAATCACATTGCCTTGAGCGCTTTAAAATGTAGAATAAAGGCGGCTCTTTCTCTACCACTGGCAGGGCACACAAACCAGATGGAGAAGGAACGAAAAGAGAGACTGCATTGCACCAAGCACCAGTTCCTGCCAGGCTGCTGCCCACACACAAAAACTGACAGCGTCTCAACTATTGCAAATGAATCATCTGCCACATACGTATACATTTAAAGGCCTCTGAGGCGTAACGCTATTTTCATCATTTTGAAAAAGGCAAAGAAACGGAGTGACTTCAATCACCTCCTGTGAAAATGGTCGTCCACAGACAAGTTATAAAGCTGCAGGGGCTATTGAAAGCACCTATGGAAGAGGATAAAAGCCTTGTGGTAATAACATGAATTTAACTGAATTATAAGGCAAGACATCTAAAATAATTTGAGATCAGCAAGAAGACACATTCCTCTAAACTAGCACTGTGCCAGCTATAGTCGTCTAATGAGGTCAAGGACAACTACGTTAGCAGGTAGTCATCTAGCCAAATGGGTAAACCAAATGGCTAAATCTCAATTTTGTGGCGTCCCTACAACATAGTTAACTGTGATTTTTACTCATTTCAGAAATATAAACAAATATGTTGTCCAAGTAGTCCACAGCAAAGAAACACATTTTTTAGACTAAATACTTTTTGCTACTCTTTTTGCTCTTCAGACTTAGACTACAGACTTTAGACAACTGATGATTCAATATGTGAAACAAGATATGCACAATGGCAAGGTTATAAATGTTAGAAATTAGAATTAAGTATAATAAATATATTTAATCCTTCTTTATTTCTTCTTTAAAGTTCTGACCACTTTCGCTGCTTTAATAAAGCAGAAGAAGTTTCTCTTGTAAAACTTGGAGAGGCAAAATTAAGAAAACAGCATGTATTTGTAATGTCCTATTATTGCAGCCATAGCTTTTCACCTGTGTGTCCTGAGAGATGTGTTGCAGCTGTATTTGTCTTCATTGTAAAGTTACACCCAGGAATTCATTCACCTAATCAGATAAAGTAAAACGAATAACCCCCTTTTCTTCCCTGGTTTTAAGCTTGCTTCAGCATTTTTGGTGTTGCAGTTTTTGTGGAGCTGTGCAGCTCAGTCAGTGGTTAATAAAACCTCAACCTGTGCGACTCGTGGATACAACTAAAATCATTTACTTGTGTGTTGTGGCTCTCACCTGTGTATCTGCGTTCAGGACTTTGATCCTCTGAGTGGAAATGAACAGGTCCACCTCCGTAAGGGTCTGTGTGTCCCCATCGGCATTCTGCACAAACAATTAGGACAAAGTTAGAAAGATTAGTGCCATACAAAATACACAGTACTGTGCAAAAGCTTCAGTCAAAACAAAAGCCTCAATAAACACTGTAAAATGTGTAAAACATGGCAATATTGCTAAAAATACAGTATTGAAAAGGTCAGGTCAAGAAAATGCCAAAACACAGTGTTGTTGTGGATCCAGATCATTGTTTTGTTTTAAAGATACATTATGCAACTTTTCTTGTAGGTGTCTGTGGTTAACACTGCTTTGCCTGGAATGATCCACAGTATGGCATTAAACCTATCTATCTTGAAATGATTCAATTACAGACGTTATTGCTCAAAAATACTTTGAGGTGAGGTACCCCATTCACAGACCTGACCAGTAACCAGGCCTGGTGATGTCACTTGGTTGTTTCAATGAAGACTGACAGGTTTAATGCCACACTTTGTAACATTCCTGACCCTGGCCAATAACATGAAGTTTCCTTCACCAGAAAAGTTGCATAACCCCTTTTTAATTCACTCCCTACAAACAAATATCTACAGAAGGAAAAATATAACATTGCAAACTACTAGATAAGCTCTTATAACTTACTGTGTCTATAGCCTTGTATAAAAGTCTTGTGCACAGTACTGTATACTTCAGTGATATTACTACATGCAGTGTGTTGGCTGGACATAGACGTGTGCGGAGGTGAGGCAGTTACATAAATAAAACATGTATTCGTGCAGTGGGCAGTGATGAGATGGTGATGGTGAGTTTGGCACAGAAACAACAAGCAGCTTTACGCTAAACCTCGACCAGCTGGCTCTCACGCCACAAGAGCTCTGTGACTCCAGCACTGGATATAAAGCAGAGACTTTACTGAGCTGCACACTATTCAGAATATGTCAACATCAAAATGCCTACAGGAAAAATGTCTAAGTCTAAAAATATCTTTTTTACAACATGTTTTACAGCACCTCAAAATCAGAGAAAAACAGGATTTAGATTTTAAGTGGACTCATAGTTAATTTGGATGCTTCCATTTTACCATGTTGGCATGTTTTGTTGAACAATGTAAGAACTGAGAAGAAAAATCTTAAATGGATTAAAGCAACACCATGTAACTTTGTGGAAGTGGCACCTACAAGATTCCATGGGAAAAAAAACAGTCAAAACCTTGCTTCCATGTCATATTGTGGGATATCATAATCACCAAAGGAACAGCATTTCCATGGAGACAAGCAAAAGAAAGCCCCCACCAGGCAAAGTTTGAGTCATGTTTATGGAGATGCAAGCTTCCTCACAGTAAGGATGCATGTTGGTTAAGCTTTTTAATGCACCAAAAATGTGTCTAAGTTACGTGGTGAGGCTTTAAATTGGCACAAGAGATGTTAATAGGGATTACAGAAAATGTATGAATAAGTATTATAATAGATGTAAACCATGTGTTTTAATTATTTAAAAAACTGTCAAAGGTTTTGTACTGCTATCACGTGTTTCAAGTGTTGTTTTTATTGGTCTACTGAAATGAATAGTAAAGCACACAAAACAGATGAGAGACGAGGACATGAATGACAGTAACACAATGCTATGATGAGACTGGGGGCTTTTATTTCACAGTGGTTGACAACACACCGCCTTTTTCTTGATTTTAGCAGCCTTCTGAACCCTCTGGCAGTGGGCAGGAGGTAGTGGGCGAAGGGACGGGGTCAGCATAAACAGGAGTACAACAGACAAGAGGGAATAAAATAAGGTAAATCAAAGCAGGTCGAGACGTTACAAACCAAACTGCAGCTGCACTATCTCCAAAATAGAAGACAGGCAGAAAGAGAGTCTGAGTGTGAGTGTGTGAGTGTGTGTGAATGTGTGTGTGTGTGTGTGTGTATGAATTATGTCCTTGTGTGCGTATGAAAGATAGCACAGCCGCGTTGGTTATCAGATTCAAATCCAAACAGCAATTACAGACAGGAATAATTGCTTTTCTTGTTCCAACACAACAAACCACAACATGCAAACACACATACTACACTCCTGATCTATTGAATCTTTTTAAACAGTTGATGTTTTGATGTGATTGACAGAATACAGAGTGGATATACAACACAATTCAATATTTACAGTCTAAATGTAATATATGTTATCAGATCAGGTGTAAAACTAGTCGTCTGCTTATCTGCCTTATATTGATAGTGATGCACTGCAGCCCTAATGGTATGTGTTAGGGGGGTAACAATATCCAAGTCTCACGATACGATATCGCCATGAACCTCATGGTACGATATTTATGGCGATATCGTGGGAAAGCTCACGATATGGTGGCAAGGCTCATGATTAGGGATGTAACATTATCCAAATCTCTCAGTACGATGTTTTCGTGATATACATCTCACAGTATGATATTTATTGGGATATTTTGTCGAGGCAAACAAAACTGTTAATATGCTCCTTTTTCCTCTTAAAATGCCTTGACAAGACTTAATCCAAAGAACTAAGACTTAAAAGTGCTTAAAAATTGTATTTCTTCATGTAGTCCACACTGGAGGAAGGATGAAGGATCATGGTCTATGACGTCCCCTGTGTCATTTTTTAGCTATCACTGCACCATAATTCTTAATTTAAGCAAAGAGACTTGCAATTCAGTATATTGTGATGGTCCACGATATAATTGTACTAATTTTAACGATACGATATAACGATATTTCAGTTATTGTTACATCCCTAATATGTGTTGATTATTAGTCAGCATTAACTTCTATTGCATTTGAGTTACAGAAGCTGTACCACTTCTTATAAATGTGAACCACTGTAAACCAGAATCCCACAATAACATGTCAAATCCATAGACTGTATGGACATGGCCAATTGTTCCTCTCTCTGTAACAGCTCCTCTCTTCTTACACTTACCCATTGTTCTATCTTCAAACTACACACCTGTTAATTTGCTATAAGGTAAGGGTATACTTTTATTGTTCCTGTTTGTACAGTGTACAAAGCAAGGTGTTTTTGAATTACTTCTAGCTTCATGAAGCTGTGTTAGTCAGTTCACCTGTCTGTTGCCATGCTTTAAAGAATAACTCAATCTAAATATTCAGGGTTTGCAGGTTAAACATGTGTGAACAAAACAAAACACAACTCCAGGTATGTTTTTGATGAGGAAACATTAAAACAGAGATCAGAAAACAGTGTAATATCAGCCCTTTAAGCATCTTTACTGGAGCGAGAACTGTAACTTGCGTGCACCAAAACAATTTCAAAGTAAATCTCTTGTAGGAAGTGCCTATACGACAATGATTATCTTAGTGCATCGGTTTAATAGTAGTACTTCTCTCCAGTATATGATCTTACAAAAGGATCTGAGGACAAAAAGAAAGAGATGTAGCCTGCAGTAAGGATTTTAACTGTGCTCCCAAAATAATTACAAGGTCATGTCACTGCAGGAAGAAACTGCTTTGAGGGTGATTCTTATCTTGAGTGTTTTATAGCTTTACTACTACTACTATAACAGTTTTCTCTTTTCCTTATCTAGTGAATCTGGACCTTGGCATGTAATCTTGAAACAATGTTATGTGCTACATTTTGTTCATTTAACTACAACTTCCTGCTACAGAGAAAATAGCCTTAAGGTAAAATATCTCTTTTTTTTTAGATTTGCAATGAGTGTTTACACATAAAACATTTGTGAGTTTCGACTGATCTATGAGGGATGAGGTAACCAGTGAGATGACACATAGAAAGTGCATGGGGAGAGGAATGCATAAATATTAAATCAAAGGTGCCGAATATTTGGTTTTGCAAAATCAAAAGCTGTGTGTATGGTAGTGGTAGAACTGCATATCTACAGAATAACAATTAGAATTTTTACTTTAGTTGCCAGTCTCAAGTGTGCAATAGTCAGCTATTTTAAATGTCAAAGATGAGTTACTTTGCGTGCATTTATTTAACCACAGGAGCACAGATCAACTGGATAATGCATGGCTTCTTATTCAGAGGACCTGTTTTGATGCAGGAAGAACAAGAAGGTGAGAGCTGGCTGTTGCCATGGTTTCATTCCGTCGGGAGTTTTTTTTTTTTTTTTTTTTTCTTTTTTCAATTGTATGTGATAAACTGAAAACAGACAAGTGAAGATCAAAAAGACGAAAGGTACAATGATGACAGAAAAGCATGTAGAGAAGGACACAGTGTTTTACTATCTAAACGCAATAGGTGGCAAATTTATGGATTAAAGGGTCTATATTTTTTTTAATAATACTTTACTTTACATATTACAGATTCATTATGAGGAAATGAACAAAATGTGAGATATATGATGTAAACAGAAACCCATAACATTAACAGGAAGACTGAAAAAAAGGCTTTGTTGTTATCATTACTGGCCTCTTCTAAAGAATTAAAAAGCCACTAAACACCAAAACTTGCACTAAACATGTTTTTTTTTTATTGATTAACTGTGTAAATCGGTCTAAAATAGAAGTGTATACCTATCCCTGGCCTTATTTAGGCATTTTAGTGCATATTTATAAAAAATCTGACTTTTAGGTCAAAAGCCATGTCTGTACCGTCCACTTTAGGATCAACTACGGCCACTACATTTGAATTTCTGGGTTAGACAAACAACTGCTAATGAGTCAGATGTAGGGTTATTATGTGACAAGCACAGCCGCTCACAGGCAGCTCATGGTCTATGGGCGGTACGTGAGAAGCTCCTCTTAGCCCCGCCTATACTAAGCTGCGCTCCGTGGCAAAACTCGCATCGCTGTCACTCTTCATTGGCAGTGCACTATTGCAGCTCTCACTGTCACCCAGCTGTCACTCATAGGTCAAGCCCCGCCCCACACCATCACCCCACCCACGCTCCCCAACCAGCCTAGTACTGCCCACTTTGTTGGATTTTTCAGATTTTGACCATGAGCATAGTTAACTCTAGCACAGATGTTTAGCGGCTCTTTAAGAAATGGAGCAAAGGATAATGATCTGTGAAGTTCCCTGTGTTTTTTTTTTTTTTTTTCATCAAAATATACATTTAAGCAAATAAGCTTATAATTCGATGTAGTGACAGCCAACAATATTGTGAGATTTTCATAATTCAGTTATAAATGAGGGTTATGATGTTGTGAGCTTTGTGGAAAACATTAAAACTAATATTGCCAAATTAGGCTATAATTCTTTTGTTATCATCAATAAGAAAATTTTCAGTCTTTTGACATATTATGTGGTACAGTATATGTATATAACACTTTGATAGGTTAAAGGTGCATTGTGTAACTTTTCTGGTGGAGGATCTGTCAAATTTCTCCATGGAGATATATAGATTTTTCTGGAATTCTTCACAGTATAGCATTAAACCTTTCTATCTTCCAAGTTACAGGCCAGATCTGTGAAGTGGCGACCCTGCTCACAGTCAGAATGCCTGTTTTTTAATGTCATACTGTGGAAGATTCCAGACAGAGCAGTGACATATCTATAGAAACAAGCAGGTGAGGGACCCCCAATCAAAAAGTTACATACATAGTGCACCTTTAAAACAGCAAGTAACAGTCAGACATTACTCAACCACTTTCAGTTTTCATAATGCAACAACAACATTTCGCATCCAGATGTTGCCTTATTTTATTTAATTTACAACAGCTATAAAGGAGCACCATCTGGCATATGTTCCATCCTCATCTCTCATCATCCCATATAAACATATACATCCCAGCAGTAAAACACCAGGAAGGATCTCCACCTAGCAGTGTACACTGAAATCCAATTCTGCCTTTAGTCTTGAAGCTAGAAGTAGTTTAAAGATCTTATGTTACACAAAATTGACTTGTGAGCTTTAAGCCGTGTTATAATGTTGTTACCTCCTCAAAAACATACCTTTGTTTCAGTCACACAGGTATGAGTGACCCTTTATTATTAGTCTGTCTGTATCAAAGCTCAAAAAGCTCTGTTCCACCCTGTGATGTCATGTAGTAGTTTTCAAGTTAACAGCTACCTTTTACCTTTCATTCAGTACAGATTGGCAATTCCAGGGCTGGAATCATCCAATTGACTCTGGTGAAAGTGTCTGGAGTTAAAGAACACAGTGGAGCACTTCCTGTATTACCACATGACATGGCAGGGTTTGTGTGTCAAACATGTGTGAATGAACCAAAACAAAAGTCCAGGTATGTTTTTTGATATGGAAACAACAGTAGATCAGAAAATAGTGTAGTATGGGCCCTTTAATGTCTGTTATAAAATCCTGATGAATGAAAAATGCATGTGTAGGTTTCAGCAATGCGAAAGTGCCACCCAGAAGTTGTGAATAATGTATTGAGTTAAGTGAAGTTGACTGCTTCACGCTTTTGTGCATGTTGAGCAGTGACTCATACTGTAACACACGCATTAGACTTCACAAATCCACTTCAAAGACACATCCCTTCCCTAACCACAGAGAGAGCTTAATCAAATTACAGTGAAATAGTGCACTTAGATCAAAATTTATTTGTGTATGTAAATCTTTGTCACTGCTGGGGAACTCATGTAACATTTTTGGACAAATACAATGACAACATGAGGGGGAACAGAATGGGGTGACATATATTATATTTGTTATATTTTATTTTTACTTGTACATGCACATGTATATAATTATGCCTTCTTTGACACCAGTCTCTTGCTATTTTTGCTACTTATTTTGAATTTATTATTACCATTTATAGTTTTGCTCTTTGTTATTATATTATATTGTGATGTGTGAGCTACTGTGAGTAATTTCCCTTGTGGATCAATAAAGTTTGATTAAGCCAAAGTTTGTAGTGATAATATTTTAATTTAAAAAGGCAGGTTCAAAACAATCAACACTGGCTATACATATTATACCATTGTAATTATACATATTTGGCTCTTCAAGTAGCATATATTTGAAGAAGAGAATTGAGTTTGAAAGTAAAATATATAGGAGATGCAACAATGACATACAAATTCATACAAAATGGAACTCAAAATGTTGAAATACCTAATGGCAATCAAATCTAGGGACAGTAATTAACAGTTACATATGAATAACCCAAACTAAACAATAACCAAACTAACTAAATCTAAACTCTTTCATTTATTGAGTATGCATTTGTAGGTTACCTGCCTTTTCAGAGACCCATATGTATCAAAAAATATATATCTGCAACACTTGTACCATACTTTCCTATACCAAAATAAAACATCAAGACCTTATGTAAGCTGTACATGTGATTTACAAACCCACTGTAGTATTAAAAGCTGTGGATCAGAGGGAATGAAAAATAAAACATACAACAAACTAGCAAAAAATACCACTAAGATCTGGCACAACTTAACAGAGTCTTGACATAACAGAGAATGACTAAAGACTGAAACACATAAATGTAGCCCTGTGGTTGGGAAATAATAGCCTGATTCATGTACTTCAATGCGTAGCTATTCTAAGGGCAGAACAGGTAAGGATGTGTGACTCACCAACTGCTGTGTTTGGCATGTAATTTACGTTTATTTTGGACATACCTTGACCCTGCTGACCGCCTCCTGGGCCTGCATCATTCGAATGTTCTTGGAGGGGTTTCTCTCGGACAGCAGCTGAGTGGAGCCAAGGTAGTTAGCAGCAAAGATAATGCCATCAATCAGGTCTTCTGGCTCACACGGGCCCGGGACTGCAGCCAGGAAGAGAGACAGAGGGGAGAGCATTAACAAAGGAGACCAGGGGTGTTTGCTACTCTGAGGTCACTGTGGTGGAGAGGGTCTTCTAATCACTAAAGCCAGTCTAAAAGAGAGCCAAAGCCTGATTGTGAAGTGGTTATGAGAGGGTTGCTCTGCTTCAGTGCAACAAAAACAAAGTAATAGCAGAAAATTAAAGGTGAACTATGTAACTTTGCTGGCAGGGGGCCAGCCACCTGCTTGTCTCCATGGAGATGTAATTGCTTTGTTTATGTTTCACAGCACAACAATAAACATAATATATTTATTTGACTACAGGTATTCTTATTCCTCAAACATACCTAGAAAAGCATACACTCTTACTGTGAGGGACTGGGCTCGCCTCTCCAGATCTGACATGTAACTTGTTTTTTTTTTCTCCACAGAAATTAATATACTTAATGCCATACTGTGGAACACTCCAGGGAAAGTGATACATCTCCATGGATACAAGCAGGTGGTGCACCCTCTACCAGAACATATAGTTACATACAGTGCATCTTTAATGTAATAAAATGAAACATGTGTGATGAAGTGATTTGTTGGAGATCTTAAGGCTGCAACAACAAAATCAGCAAATTAAATAAAAATATAAAATTCAAAACAATTTTAACGAATACTATTGGGATAATGTTTTAAACTGTGATGTTACTTTTTTATTAATTTACCAAAAAATTATGAACAAGTGAATACAAATTGTCAGCAGTGCATTTACACTAATTATCTGTTGTGCTAATCATAACTGTGCAGTATTAGACCACCAGCACTATTTACAGCATTCTGTGTGGAGTTTACATATGTCCCCCACCCTTTGTTGGGTATTCTCAAATAGACTAACCATTGTATTTAGTAGCAAAGATAATGCCATGAATCAGGTCTTCTGGCTCACGCGGTCTTGGGACTATGGCTAGAAAGACACAGAGGGAGGCCATTAACAGAGGAGACATGGGAAGAGGCTATTGTGAGGTCTGCTGTTATACTATTATTGTATTGTCAGTCTAAAGGAAGTGAGTGCTGGAGATATGGAGATAGGGAACATGATTGCTTCTGCTTCATTGCTCACTTGGAAATCAGGAAACAACATCAAGAAATCACAATACTAGAGTTTTTACATATAATATAATGAAAAAATCTATATTGGCTTTTATAAAAATATGTAGGACTTAAGAATGTATTTTTATTTCTTTGACTTCTCATTTGATTTTGTGAATTACTAGCTCCTATCTCATAACTGAATATATGGATGTATGCCTTATGAGAGGTACATCCTTGGCAGTGGTGGCTGGTTAATTGCAAGGTTGGCATATACGTAGATACACAGACATGCAAACATGAATTTGTACAATGCTATTCATTAACAGGGAGTAATTGCGACACAAGTTTACTTCACAAAGGCATGTTACAGACACACAATTAATGAGAATCAAACACGAATGCAATTTGAAATTACAAATCGCAAACAACAAAATATCCAGTTTATGTGGGATATTATTATGTACAAAACATGCATGTATTAACCCCATAGGCTATATAAAGATGTGGACTAAGAGAGTGAGGTGCCACCCATAGTGTTTGGCTACAGTCAACTGAAGCTCATGAGGCTAGCAGTTATAGGAGCAAATTTGAAGCCAGGTCCATATTAGAAAAAGGAATAGGAATATTAGGAATATTATTTACAGACAAAACAGCAAACTAAAAACTCCAGGATCATGTAGAGCGGGCTAATATGAACAAATGACAAGGCTCACTGCAGCAGTTACAGAGAGATGGGTGACAATATTTCAACGTAAAGTCAATTGGAGCCAGAGTCGATGGAGCCGGAAGCACCCCCAAGTTCACTTTCTATTTGGACGAGCTATGTCCATTTATACATACAATCAATGGTTAACCTCTAAAGCCGGGCGTACACTGTGCGATTTTTGGCCCTTTTTTGATTTTTCACTCGTGCCACTGTTTTGGAGAGAGGGACGAGTTTTGGCATGTCGTGTTTCGTGTAGTATACATGGGGCAACAAGAATCGATTAATACCTCACGACCATCTCCCAATCGGCAATCGTAGGTCGCAAGAATATCAAACCTGTTTGAAATCCAGTCACCTCCTGTGACAGTTTTGCACTGTTGAAGTAGTTTGTATAGTGTGAACATGAATCGTGAGCTGTGAACTTTTAAAACCTGTGATTTGGTCGTACAGTTTGAGCTGAGGTTGAGTGACAGAATCGAAAATATTGCACAGTGTATGTTCGGCATAAGCTTAGACCACTACAAATATGTTCTGAAAAGCATGTGATTCTTATTGGCTTAGCAGTTCATATTTCAGTTCTCTCTTAAAAGCTATTGCTCTTGAGTGTGTTTGGATGAATTTTTATTTCAGAACATGAATCACAAATCTAATCATCACACTTCCAACAGACAAATGTTCAGCCCTAATGAATGTTAGTGGATGGTATAAGAAAAAGCCATAGGGAGCCCACAGTCACACAGAGAGGACATGCTATCAATCAAGCCCGGGAGAGGCTTTCGTCTGAGGGAGGTTACTGTGGTGGAGAGGGTCTTGTAATCACTGGAGCTGGGGCAGTGTGGAGAAACTGAGCTAAACAGTGCAGATAGGGCACAAGTGATAAGGGCCTGGGTTGGACTGCAGTGCTTTGGGCTAATGGAGGACTGGCCCGAGATTAATCTGTATGTGTGATATGGAGATGTGCACTCCATAACACCCTGCAAGGGACACAACAGGCTGTCATGATCCGAAGAGACTAAATCCTCACGCTATATTAGACTGCATCTGCCCACCAGCACACTGACAGCCTGGGCAGTAGTGGCGTTATCTCGATGCAAAAAGAAGGGGGAAAAAAACATTGGTTTCTTGGAAGCTGGCCATGTAATTAAAATGTTTTGATTTTGTGTGAATGCAGATTGACTTACCATCGACAAAGCTGGGGAAGGAGGCGACTTTCTTGGTTGGCTGGAAAATAGAAATGAGACAAGATGCTAATGATACAGGTTTGCATATGCGTTTGGAAACACAACAAATAAATCTTTATCGTATTAGGGAAATGCAGATGAGGGCGCGGGGGAGAATGCAGTGGACGAAAATAGGTACTAAACAAAGAGGAGACAAACTGAAAATGCATACAGTGAGATAATTACTAAACATATTCTGAAAGCACAGATCTCTAAATATTTTGTCTCAATGGTAAGGACCTTATATCTGCCAGAACAAGAATCACATAAATTCAACTAAGAAATTGTTCAGTAGGGCTACTCGATTATGGAAAAAATCATTATCACGATTATTTTGGTCAATATTGACATCATGATTATTCAAACAATATTTTTTTTGTTACATGATGCATTTATTCAGCATTTCTCTCTCTCAAAAATAAAACAAAACACTTTATTATTGATAAACTTTGTTAAGCTTTAATTATTTCAACCCAGTTATATGAGTTTGGAGATCATTGACACACAAATCGAAATCACAATCAAAATTGTGCACAGCCTTATTGTTCACTATTTTAGATGGCGTCTATCATAATACTTGATCAGATTTTTAAACAGTAACATATTAGTAGTTAGAGGTGGGAAACCACAGAAATGGACAAAACTAAAGAAGTTATAATCATTTGGCAGTAGTATAAAATGATTACTGCTGTACTTATAGGCCTGTCATGATAACCCATTTTAGAGAGAGATATACCGCATTGTTGAAGTAAATTCAGACAATAAACAATTATACTGAAACAAATTCATGCCACTGACACAATAACCCAAGGTCAGATTTAAACCACAAACATGATTCTAAATTTACAACCAGAAGCTGCAATAAATAATTAGGAGATCTTATAGTACTCAGAACTCATCATACAGCCAAAAAAATAACCAGCAATTTCCCAATAGTACACAAAAAAAGTGCACATGATAAATATTGACCGAAAAAAAATATACTGAATGATAAGCCGAAATAGTAATTATCATGACAGGTCTATGTACTTACTATAAATTATTGCCTATTCCTACTGCCACTATATTTATTAAAGACGAGAGTTGCTCAATTCAAATAAGCATTCATCTGGGCTGAGAATGCACTACAATATATAATCATCATACTCTGTTGTTCGTCATCTTTTATAGTTTTCCAGACTTGTTAAGAGAACTTTCTCAAGGGAGCCCTGCTTATGTGAGAGTGCAAAAATAAATAGCATAGTGTGGTAAGAAATATGATTCATACATAATCACTTTGACATTTAAAGAGTCACGAGCCTGAGTGCAGCAAAACAGCTGGCAGAGAGCAATTTGGGATTTACAAAGCACCTTAATTCAGTGTGCTACTCATCCATTTTAATATCCACAGACACATTTTAGATAAGAAAACTATACGGAGAGTCAGGAGTTATTTCATTTTCATTTTTATCTAATTTTCAAACTTAAGCTGAAATGATTACTGATTCAAAAAGGGAGATGAGAGTACAAACATCTGTAGCACCCATCTCAGTGAAAAATGGCCCTTGTAAAACAGGCAAGCTCATTTACTGCCATGCTATCGCACCATGAGGAGAGGACATGAGGCGCGATGGTAATTACACAATTACTCAGTGCCCAGACAGTGGTACACGCAGAGGGGCTGGGGCGCACTCATAAACAAGCGTGTATGACCTCTGTATAAATGTAAATGATTGTGTGGGTGCAAATGCCACAGTCCTACCTCCGGCACGTTGTTGTTCTCCAGAGGAACATTGAGGTCGGAGCGCTGCTGCTTTCTGGGCTCGGCTCCATTAGTAACCTGCACAAAACCACAAAAAAACATATTACAACAGTAAATTAGATCAATAAATATATAATGTTCAGTACAAAGTACACAGGGCCAGGTACTGTTTAAAGGTACCAGTACAGAATTGAAAAAAAAAAAAAAAAGCGGTACATGGGTAGTGAAAAAAAATTTACTCAAACACTGGTACCGAAAAAAAATAATAATAAAATTCTTGATATCTTCTGATCATGTTGATGGCTTTTGGGTCCTGAGAGGTCAAATAAATATGGTACCTTTAAACAACACTGAAAGGTACTTAGCCCTAATTTTGGGTGATACAATTGCACAAAATATTGCAAATTGAAATCAGCCCTATAGTTAAAATAGAGATTGGCAAATTCCTATAATAACTACATCCAGATGCCATGCACACATTTATTCTGCCTATGAAGGACAGCCATCTGGTGCATGCTCATCACCTGTCATTTCTCATCATCATGTCAGTACATACATCACAACAGCAACGACACCAACTGACGGCTGCCATATTGGATCCTACTCAATATACCATCCATTTTATAACTGGATGAAATGATGTCTGCCCATATGCCGCCTGTTGCTTTAATGAAATAGAGGAGGGGTAGTCATTTGAAGATACCATGCTGTTTCACAAGTAGAAATTAAATTAACTACCGGAAATATGGGAGTGGCCTGCTTTACAACCCGCGAGTAAAATGTAAAGCCATGATCAATATTCATAGGCACTTTGAGGAACATACACCCCTCAGATTAATGAGATTTGCAACATTTGGTTTGTAAATAATAATAAACTTGAGATGACCACACACGTACATTTACTAGTTAAATGTCTTGCAAAATGTGTCAAAAATCCATATAATAAAACTCGTCATTGAGCATCTCTTCTCTCACACATACCACTGGTAATGCATTTTCATTTTTTTGTTAATGATAAAATCTATACTATTGGTCTCATTTCCCTATTGACCGTGTCTAAATGATATCAATCGGATTACTGTACTTTTATTCCCGCACACGTTTTATTCCCCTACGTATATCCAGTATTATCGCTCTAAAGAAAATATCCACCTATTCTGTCTTGGTAAATGATCACATTTTTATATAGCGCTATTCAACCTTCAAGGCACTCAAAGAGCGTTACATCAAGGAGCCACTCATCCATTCACACACACATTCATACAACAGTGCACGCAGACACTAGGGGCAAAGTAGGTTAAGTGTATTGCCCAAGGACACAACGACAGCATACATCTGCGGGAGCTGGAACTGTCAACCTTCGGATCAGTGGACACACACTCTACCTAACTGAACTACTGTCTTTAGTCTTCAGTGCTACAATCTCTACTATCTATTTCTTAACTACATTTGTAAACAATATGTAAGGAACCACTTCATGAAATATTTCGCTTTACAAGTGCAATCAGAAATGGACGATAGCCAACCTAAATCCTGCCTAAGATTGAAATGGACCTATACTGGACTATATTGTGTCTAAACTGAGTGTAAACTAGGTATGGAAGAAGATCATTACCCAAGATCTCAAGTGCAAGTCAGCTCTAAACCGTATAACATCACTGAAAAATGACTAGATACAGATGATTCATAAGCATGACTATTCTTTGTTCTCATGTGCGCTGTGTGCAGAATACATTTAGAGTTCTGCTAACTCTTTAACATTGCAACCACTGACTCATCTCTTGGGGAAAATTACCATAAGATTCTTGCTGACTAAATACATGCATACAAAAGACACCATAATTTGTTCTATCAGCACCATCTTCCCTGTATTGAGAAAATATGTTTTTAACTGCAATAAATATGTGTTTAATTTAATCATTTGACATTTAGTGAAGCAGGTAGACACTCACAGCTAAATAACTGCCGCATCAGAGAAATCCATTAACACCATAAAGCTCGATTTAACAAATGGCATCATCATAACTTTCATATTAACAATATAATTAGAATTGGAGGTATTGAATTAGTCTAATAAGAGGTTTTACTGTTACCTGAAGGCTGATAAAGCTTTTTGTAACAATAACTAAGAAAAGTGAGTAAAAATATATTATATAGTTATGGTAGCGATAGTAATTGGAATCAGTTTGTTGTATGGTTGGCTGGCAAAGTAATACCTAATGTTTTTTACAGTTCAAGAGCGTGATTGAGTCAAAACATATTTTCGCAATATTCATATCGCAGTACAATTGATATTGTGTTCCTGACTGTATTCCTTCTTAATTATTCAGGGATGATTTTAAAGTGGTGCAAAGAGAGCCATCACTGTCTAGGTCAAAAAGAGGACAAAATGATCACATAGCTTTCTGGGAGTCCTGGGATGCTGGAGTGTGACTAGACTGTATTTGACCTGCTTTTCAGACACATAGAAGCTACAACAGTAAATACGTGAGACCGGAGCAGGTGTTTTACTGTGGGCTATCCACGGGGGACCCACCAGAAGAGAGGGTCTGCGGTTTATGAACCCTCCAGGACAGGGCATTGATCCAGGCCTCTTTGGGAGAGAAGGGAGAGGTGCTATAACAAAATGGAGGAGACGTGCTACAGGCTTTTCACTGTGTGGTATTGAGTAACACGTCTGCTCACCACAAACGCCTTCTGAATCACGTTTAGAGGGAAAGGTCACCGCAGAATGTTACAATATGCAGATGTTCATGATTGAATTAGCATGTGCTGTGTCAAACAGTGATTAACCAATGTAGCTATGCTTGTGTCCTTGTTGCATGGGGAAATTGCATTGAATACTAATAACCACAAATGCAATTATCCAAAATAATGAGGCGGTGAAATGTATGGTGTATTGTTGGTAGACTGCGCCACTGGGATTTCATCTTCGAGCTTGTGTTTTAACATAAGGGAAAAACATTAATATTTATTATGCTATTAGGTAATAACACTACAATACATTATTCAATATTTAATTTGTTCCCTTTTCCCTTCAAAGCTGCTATTAGAGACCTCTAAAGTTGCACTAACTTGTTCAGTGGAGGGTCTGCTATCTGTTTGTCTCTATGGAGGTGTTGCAGTGTTGCTTGGAATGTTCCACAGTATGGCATTAAAGAACTATCTTCATGGATACAACTAGGTTAGACCACTAGGTAAACCACCAGGTAATAAATGCAAGATATTTAATGTGTAATGGAACATTCCAGACAAAACAATGGTCCATGGAGACAAACACATGCAAGCAGAAAAGTTTCATTAAATAGTAGTATAATAGTAATAGTCACATTAATTCGACAGGTGCACTGTGTAACATGTCTGTTGCCCGTCACCTAGCCAGGCTGGTGCCACCTAGTGCCTCCCCTCAATTTCATTTCTCTCCAGTGACTAGTTCAGGAATCGGAACACACTAGACGGTTTGCAAGAACCCCGAAATTTGAAGACCGCGCACCGGCCAATCAGCGAAGAGCTGAACCAAGTTGCGATAGCAGACTGCATATGCTAGCCTCCTTGGGACTTCCTTTATAAAATACAAATTTAGCATTTTTTTTTTTTGCACCTTTAATTCACAAGTTCACCTCGCAGAAACGACAGTGATCGTTGACAGACATGTTCACACTCTGCTTTGTTTGCTGTTTGCGAGCGAACAAATCCTAATGCTGGGAGGTCAGATGTTTCCACAAAGTGAAAACGACTGATGAATCAGGCTACCCGTCATCTGCTTGTCTCTATGGAAATGTGCCTAGAATGTTGCACTTGCAAATCAAATTATAGGTTAGATTTGTGGAGAGGCAACCTCACTCACAGAAATAATGACACCTGGAGTTGAATAAATGTAAGTCAGATAAGTTTAATACTATAACTGTGGACAATTTAAGCCAAAGCATTGACAGAGACAAACGGGTTGTGGGCTCCCTCCAGAGATGTTACACAGTGCACCTTTAAAGTGTGAAGCCTGATCCAAAGTAATTATCTGTACTATGATTGCTAGTAAGTTCAGTGCCAAAAAGCCGAGCACATGAGAAGCCATCTTACCTGTTCCTGTGTCCACCTCTGCCGGTCCTCAGGTGAGCGAGGGTGTGCCTTGACCCCCCTTTGTAGATCTGGTGTGTTGTGGTGTATGGAGGGTAAGTTTAGGGACTTGGGCCGGCTGTCGTGTCTGTGGTGGGGCGGGGGGTAGGAGGCGCTCTCTGGTTTAGTGTGAGCGTAGCTGCCAGGTGGAGGGTCTTGAGCCAGTTCTTCGGGACTGTGATCAGTGCTGCTGCTTAAACTACCCATGCTCATACTCATTTTAATCTCCGCCACTATTTGGTCAATGTCCTCCTCTGCCTCCTCCCCCGTTTCCCCTTCTACCACCATCACCTTACGTCCACGATACGGAGACCCCCGCACTGAGTTCCCATTGTCCTCTGGGGCATAGTAATCGCCAGTGTAAGACCGCCTGTGTCCTTCATCTTCCTCCTCATCCTCTTCCTCATTGGGGCAGTACTCCTCGCTTTCTGGCTCATCTTCCTCTGCCCCATCTGCCCTTCTCGCTGAGTGGAGACCCTCTTGGTGATGATGCATGTGGTGATGGTGGGTGTGGTGGTCCAAAATGGGTTCGGGGCGTCCATTGTAAATCTGTTCATCGGGATCTTGCTCCACGACTTCACAGCGTACTTCTCCGTCCCCATCCCCCCAGTCCTCTTGTACTCTGTGCCTCTCCCAGTGCTCCTGCCGCACCTGCCCACCCTCTCTCCACTCCTCTTGCACTTCAATATCGCCCTGCTCCCATTGGTCCTGCTCGGGGTCACCGTCATGCCACTCTTCTTGTACCTCTGCCTCTTCTTCTCTCCATTCTTCCCGAACTTCTGCATCATCTTCCTCCACCCACTCCTCCTCTCTCGCCTCACCCTCCTGCCCCTCCCCGTCCTCCACCCATGCCTCCACAGCCTCCTGGCATTCGTCGGGGTGGGGTGGTTGGATATCGGAGCTGTAGTCCTCTTGTTCGTGGTTGTGATTGTTGTGGTTGTGGCTGTGGGGCTGTGAATGGTTGCACTCGCCCTGACCGTTGCAGTCCATTCCCTCCAGGTAACTGTCATCCTCTGGGCAATAGCGGATGTAGTATGTCACGCCCTCGTCCTCTTCCGCAAGACCTGAAAGAGAAAACACAAAGTTCCATTTTTTTATTCTGATATTGAAGCAAACTAAAACAAAAATAGACAAAAACTAAACAAAAATCATCCCACACAAAACACTAGGTACACAAACAGCAAACGTTAGTCAAGACCAGTCCTGTCAAAATGTCCAAAGAGGTGTCCATGTCTCTTTGAAGTCCAGTCGTGTTCCCCTCACAGAGTGAAGTATTTTCTCTGGGGTGCAGTAGGATAATAATTCATTAATCCAATTAGTCTGGCTAGGAGGAGCAGAGGCCTTCCAATTTTTAAATATCCACTTTTTGACCATGGGTGAAAACACAAAGTTAAGTACAAAAGTAATTATTAAAACATCCATCTGCTTGTCTGCATAAACAAATAGTATAAAATTCCAGGCAAAGCAATAACACCTCCATATAGACAAGAACACAGTAGCCATTTCACGAGAAAAGTTACATGGTGCACCTTTAACTAACTATAACATCATTAAGTACTGCTTCATAGTTCCCAAACTTTCTGACCTTTATGACATTACAAAAGTTGAGTATTATCAACCTACTGCTTGTTGTTGTTTTGCTTTTCAGGGAAAAATAGCAGTGTCACTGTGAAGGTCACCCACAGTCTTTTTCTATAATATTGATATTTTGGTTGAACTTCTGCCATATTTGGGCTACAGTATAAAAAACAAGTTATTTTTACTCTCAAGTGATATTTTATTGGGTGAGTACTTAAAACTAAAGCTGGGACATAGAGCTAAATAAGGATAATCTCAAATGTGTTGTTTCAGAGATATGCAATTAAAGTGTAATAGTTTATATATGAACTACTTTCTGAAAGGTTGTGAAAAAGTCAATTAAAACAAGATCAGAGACTTAGAGTAATCTTTGAAATAAGATTATAAGATTTTTCTACACTTTGGTAATTAAAGGTGCACTGTGTAATATTTCTAGAGAAGGGTCTGCCACCTGCTTACCTCCATGGAAATATTACTGCTTTGTCTAGAATGTTGCACAGTATAGATTAAACCCATCTATCACATGTTACAATTCAGATCTGTGGAGAGTCGCCACTGTTCACAGAAGGAATTAATGCATCTTTGAGCAATAGAAACCCTAACCCGTAATGAATACATGCTAGTTGGGTATGTTTAATGTCATACCACGGAGCATTCCAGGCAAAGCAATTAACATCTCCATGGGGACAAGTAGGTCATGTAAAAATTTACAGTAATCTTTCAAATAAGGTTATTCTACAAACTGGTAATTACAGAATGAGTTTTAAAGGTCCTATATTGCACAAAATCGACTCGTGTTGTTTCCTCGGCAAAAACATACCTGAAGTTGTGTTTTGTTTAATTCACACATTTTTGAGTAATCCATCTCCAAAGATCAAAATGCTCTGTTCCACCTTGTGATTCATGTAAAGGTAGTTTTCAAGTCAGAAGCTAACTTTTACCTTTAGTTCAGTAAAGATTGGCAATTCCAGGTCTAAATGTATCCAAATAACTCTAGTGAAGGTGTATGGACATGACATAAACGTGTAAATGAAACAAAACACAACTCCAGGTATGTTTATGATGAGAAAACAACATTATAACATAGATCAGAAAATAGCATAATCCTTTAAACACTGCTAAAATAAATACGCACCATCGTCATAGTCCTCGTCCTCTGAAGTGTTGTTCATGTACTCTGAGCTGGAGTCATCGTCCAGACTGTCTGCGCCATTGTTGTACTCTGCGTGGGGGTCTATGTGGTGGTGCTCCTCTGGTTCAGGCTCTGGGGTGGGGGGAGTTATGGGTCTATGCTCCTCTTCTTCAGTCTCTACTGGGTTACTGTATCTACTCTCTTCAACGGTGGGCTCTATCTCCACTTCGGGAGGAGGGGAGGGGTGAATAACTTCTTGTGTTTTCGGGGGCGTGTATTGTGCCTTACAGGAGCGAGGGAGGGGCTTGGGGTCCCGTGGATGAGGCGGGTGGTGGTGGGACTCTTTGGGATAGCGGACAGAGCGTTGACGTGGGGCAGGTGCTCTCAGATCGAGGGCCTCTGGGGAGTGGGCTTCGGGGCAGGACACAGGTGCAGGAGCAGGAGGAGGAGGGGCCATACTGGTCCCTCCACTGGACCCGGGCCTCTTCCGATGAGACATGACTGCTGGTTTATTACTGGCCATACATTTTCACAAGGTTGAGCCTAAAGAAAGCACACAAACACACAGAGATTTAGTATTTTATAAGGTCATGAAATTGTATTTAAAATATAAACTACTGTGCATTTAAAGCAAACTAAGAACCACATTTTTGTATAAATTTTCTGGTAGAGGGTCAGTCAAATGCTTTGTTCCATGGAGATATTATTTCTTTGTCTGAAATGTTTCACAGTTTCACAGTTTCACACCTTTCTATCTTCAGGGAGAACAAACCAGATCAAGTTACAGGTCAGATCTGTCGGTAGAAACAAGCAGGTGACGGACCCACAACCAAAAAGTTAGATAGTGTACCTTTAAATATACAGTATATCACAAATCTATTATCATTTTTTAATTGTGCAGTCTAAAAGGTAAAATTACTTTCACTATTTTGCACACCCCAGCATTTGACCAGGGACAGCAGATCCCATGCTTGTCTGGTTAGTGAGCAGCAAACGAATCTACAGACTTCGATGGTTTCACCTTTAGCACAATAAACAGAAAGAGCAGTGTGCGAAGTGTCCTGGCTGAAATAAATGAGGGCACTGCCAAACTGAGAATCAATAGTTACACCAAGGTCACCGTCTCTCAGGTACAGTACAGAGAGTGAGAGCAGGGGCTGTTTGGGTGATCACTCATTTAGGACTTGTATTGATCCTGGAGTTGCCTGGTGAGAATGGTCAACATGGGCCATAATAATGTAGAGTGCAAAAAAGGAAAAGACTGCATCCGTCCAAGCTACATCAATAACACAAGTCAAGTTCAATCACAAAGTAATATTTTTGAAAACTTGGCAAGTTGAGTAACTGGGTTGGAGTTTGACTACTGGTCTACTTTCCCTATATGTTAAAAGGCACATAATAGGTTATATTCAGATCTGTTATAATGATGTTTCCTCATTAAAACATGCCTGAGTTGTTTGTTTTTTCACACATCTTTAACGCAAATCCTGCATATTTATTCTGAGTTCTTCTTTTAAACAGAAAACACTTTCATGAAACAAAATGTAACTCCAGGTTTGGTTTTGAGGAGGTAACAACATTCTAACATGGTTTAAAGCTCACAGAGTGAATTTTGTATTATTTGTATGATCTGTCAGAAACAGCACCCTTAAAAACTTGTTATGCTTTGCCTTATTGAATGTTATATTGTTATGTGGCTAAATCATACTAGTATATTCCACTGATTATGTGTACACTCTGAGCACAGCTGCCCTGGGGCACAGTGACAGTAATGTATGCAGCAGCTACTTAGCCAAACACACAATTACACTATATTCATACACCAGTGCAGACAAAGAAAGTACTGCAGGTGAGGTTTCTTGCTAGTTTTGCACATTTTTGGTACCCAGCACACTACTATTTTCGACTGTCTGTGTATTTTTCTTCATTGCTATATGTCTTGCCCATTAAAAATGCAATATTATGCCACAGTGGAAGCAGAATAGGAACACATATTTCTTCCATTTATCACTTGGGATAGTCAAAACAACAACCTCAAATGTCTGAGATTTAGAAAGAAGAGACATAAACGTAACAAATAAACTAATAATACAGAGCAAAAAAAGTTGATCAAATAATCAAACTTAAAGGCCAATCAGTGTTATAATATTTACTCATCAAAAACATATTTGGAGTTGTGTTTTCTTTCATTTAAACATGTTTAACACACAAACCTGCATAGGTTGAATTCTTCTCTCAAACAGAAAACATCCTGTTCCAACTTGTGATGTCCTGTGATAAAACAGGAAGTGCTCCAGTGTGTTTTTAAACTCCATATACCTTCACTGGAGTCATTTGGATAATCCCAGCCCTGGAATTGCCAATCTCTTCTGAATTAACGATAAAAGGTAGCTGCTAATTTGAAAACTACCACTACATGACAGCACAAGGTGGAACAGAGCATTTTGAGCTTTGGAGATGAAGATGGACTAATAATAAAGGATTACTCAGACATGTGTGAATGAAACAAAACATAGCTCCAGACCTGTATGTTTTTGAGTAGGTAACACAATTAAAACATTGCTTAAAGCTCACAAGAGTAAATGTAGCATAATATAGCATGTTTAAAACATAAATTAGCAGACACACATATTATCAAACTAACAACTAAAATATTACAACAAGCCTATATCTTCCCATATGTCATATTCCACACATCTTATTGCTAGTCCTATATGTTTCCTTGGAGAGGTGTTGCAGTTGCTTTCCTGATTTCCTGTTACTATAATTATATTTTCCATCACCCTCAGTTACTGTTGTTAATTAGCACTGCACACCTTGGCACAAGCCCCACACCATTACTCCTCATGTGAAAAAATCTGATTATAAAAACATGAACCAACATATGATGATGCTAGCAAGCCATTTTTGCTGCTTCATACAATGCATCCCATACAAAGGTGACTCACCATCAAGACTTGAGTGTCCCTAAAATTTCACACTATACACAGCAGAGTAGATATAACAGAAAACATATTACACTTTGTTCATATTTCAATGAGAAATCTATAGCAACTACATCACTTACCAGAATCTGAGATGTCCTGTACAATATCCCTTAAATCTCGTCTAATAACTGGCCTATTCCAATTCCACCCCTCTCACTTGCTCCTCCCCTCCCCCAATCGGCAGCCCCTTCACACCAAGCCCCTCCCATTCTTTTCATTATATCCCAGCATCCTCCAGGCGAGCCACAGCCACGCCTCAAACCAATCCCCCGGAGATGGAGGTAGACACTGGTAACTATGGGCAACAACATCCCCTGAGGGACCTGTATACTCTCCGACCTCCCTATTGTGAAGATTTGCAGCTGATATGCTAAAGTGAGACATTTCCTATAGTGTTGTAGTAGTAGTGAGGGTGATTTTTGTTCTCTTAGACTTCTTTTTCTTTAAAGGATTTGACAAGCATTAATTATTCTACACACAATGTAGCTGAATAGTGTCAGAAGAAACTGTTCTAGCTTCAAATATGTATGGCAATCAAAGCTGTGTTTCACAAATGAAACTAAGATATAAAACTCAAATAAAAGGAAATATATGATGAAACTGACACTGTGGGTAGCTTTTTCATTAAGTGTGTTATTGGTTTGAAATTAAAAAAATGTTAAAGTATTTATTTTTTACCATCCTGCTCATCTATGGCAAAAATCATCAGGATTACTTGGCTCATAATTAAAATAACTTTTATTTCAAACAATTTATTCAATACTGTCAGAAATTAAAGATTCATTTCATTTGATTATTAAAACATGTGTATATCTGTATTTTCCCCCATGTTTTGAAAGGCAGAACCAGCGTGTAGTAATACTCAGAAGTTAATTTTCAGTTTCAACACATTTGTAATTGATTAGTGTAATAATTTAAATCCCAGCTTTTACATTTGATTAACTGCCCAGCCCTAAGAGATGTTTCATTCTTTGTATCATTTTTAGAATTCCTTATTATTCCAAATTATGAGCCACCCACTGAGCACTGATTTACATATTGATGTGGTGCCAGGCCTCTTCTGATGCACCCATCTCTGTATTTAAAGAAAAATAGTACAAGCTTTCAGACCATAAGACTTAAGGCTTAAAATAAACACTGGATTTCAAAAAACACTATCTGAAGCATGATATATTGCTGAAGTAAATGTAGACAGTGTTGGGAAGGTTACTTTTAAAATGTAATCCCCTACAGATTACAGATTACACACCCCAAAATGTAGTTTGTAACGTAATCCATTAAATTACTTAAAGTGAGTAACGTAATCTGATTACTTTGGATTACTTGATATTGTCATGTTTTTTTAAATGACATGAATGTAGCAACCACATCCTGAAAATTCTTGTTTGTTGTCTTCAAATTGTCTGAGCCCAAGTCTCCATGAATAAGCAACTGTTTACTGTAGAGAAACAAAGACCACGATATCTTAATATAAGAGGTTTTGTCTGTTAAAAGACAGTAACAAGATCAGCCTTTCCTTAATATTAAAAAATATTATTGATAGAGAAATTATTTTTTATATGAGATCACCTTAAATTATGTCAACCTACTGTTAGGTGTCATGTTGTTTAGACCTGGTTTAGTCCTGGTTTTAGACCTGGTCTAGACCAGGTCTTTAGTTCTGGTTTAATCGTGGTTTAGTCCTAGTTTAAACCTGGTTCAGTCCTGCTTTAGTCCTGGTTTAGTCCTGGTTTAGTCCTGGGTTAGTCCTGGTTTAGTCCTGGTGTTAGTTCTGGTTTAGAGGCGCACAGGAGGAGGTTTACGCGAGAAAACACGTTCCACTCACGGCGCACGAGACGGCGGTGTCCGCGCTGTAACTACGGAAGGAGACGTGGTCCGCGGGTTCTCAGGTTGATGACGATGATGAAGGTGTGTGTTTGTGTGTGTTTGTGTGTGTTTGTGTGTGTGTCCACTCATGTCGCAGGTCATTATAGGACAGTAGTGTAGATATTATGAGTCTATGCAGGTTGTTTTCACCAGTGCCAGTAGCTCCTGCTTCACATTTAAGTTGTAGGCGATTTTATATTTGTTTTTTTTAATTTATATATATCTCACATCGGGAGAAGAATTTCCAAGACACAAATGTGTTTTTACCAATGCATTGCTGCTTCCACTGTGTGACTGACACCGCCAACTTTAACATGACGTTTACATCGCTCTTACTGTCGCGTTCGGTTTGGGTTTCCGGCAAAGAATGGAATTACCGAAATAAAAAAATAAATAAATGGGATGTAGCACAAAATGTGAAAACAGGAAAATACCGCCTTGTAATCCACTTATTTCAGCAAAGTAACTGTAATCCAATTACCACTCATTGAAACAGTAACTGTAACTGAATACAGTTACTCATAATTTGTACTCTGATTACGTAACGGCGGTACATGTAATCCGTTACTCCCCAACACTGAATGTAGATGATAAACAATAATACTGAAACTAATGTATGCCACTGATACAATAACCCAAGTGTCATCGGGCG